TCTTTGACTTGATGGGCTGTTAAGCAGACAGAATTTAAAATACTGTCATGAAGCTGGGTATGGTGGCTCACACCTGTAATCCTAGCAACTCTGGGAGGCCAAGGCAGGAGGATCACTTGAGCTCAGGAATTCAAGACCAGCCTGAGAAAGAGCGAGACCCTGTCTCTACTAAAAATAGAAAATTAGCCAGGTGTCGTACCAAGCATCTGTAGTTCCAGCTACTCGGGAGGCTGACTCAGGAGGTTTGCTTGAGCGTAGGAGTTTGAGGTTGTAGTGAGCTCTGATGACACCACTGTACTCTACCCAGGGCTACAGAGCAAGACTCTGTCTCAAAAAAAAAAAAAAAAAAAACTGTCCAGCTGTGCAACTATTTACAAATTTCACTTCAAATGTTTTAGGTCATTATGTATGAAATGTCTGATTTCAAATCAAAAGTGTGCTTTATTATATCTCAAACGAGAAGCAGTACAATTAATCAAAGTATGCACCTAAACTATCAACACAGTTTTGCCATCTTAACGGTAGCTTGTTTATGCCAGCAGCAAAGAAGCCTGGAGAGCAAGTAGCAATGAAATCTCGAAAGGCATTTTCCACAGCTTGTTGAGAATTAAATATTTTTCCTTCCAAGTATCGGTCCAAAGCCTGGAAAAAGTGGTAGTCAGTTGGTGCAAGGTCTGGTGAATACGATGGATGACAGAGAGTTTCCAAGTCCAGCTCCTGTAGTTTGAGCAGCGTTGTCTGTGTGACATGTGGTCGAGCATTGTCTTGCAGAAGGATTGGCCTATCTCTATCGACCAATCTCGGCTGCTTAATCGCAAGCATCTTCATCATTTCATCCAACTGGTTGCAGTAGACATCCGCTGTAATCAACTGACCAGGTTTCATGAAGCTGTAGTGGATAATACCAGCGCTGGACCACCAAACAGACACCATTAGTTTTTTTTGATGAATATGCAGTTTTGGACTGTGTTTCGGCACTTCATCTTTATCCAACCATCGTGCCGAACGCTTGCGATTGTCAAAAAGAATCCATTTTTCATCACACGTAACAATACGGTGTAGAAATGGTTCACCTTTATGTCGGGACAGCAAAGAAAGGCAAGCTTCGAGACGATTTCTCTTCTGACGCTCATTTAATTCATGTGGAACCCATCTATTCAGCTTCTTTACCTTGCCGATTTGTTTCAAATGGTCCAATATTGTTGGAATACTAACGTCAAATCTTGCTGCTAATTCACGTGTAGGTTGAGATGGATTCGCTTCCACGACAGCTTTCAGCTCATCATTATCTACTTTGGTCTCAGGTCGCCCACGTGGCTCGTTTTCAAGATTAAAATCACCACAACGGAATTTCTCAAACCATCGACGTACTGTGCGTTCATTAGCCACGTCCTTTCCAAACACTTCGTTGATATTTCGAGCTGTCTGTGAAGCATTGGTTCCGTGACGAAACTCATATTCAAAAATAATACGAATTTTCGACTTATCCATGGTTTCACAAAAATTGCTCTAAAAAAAATTGGAAAGATAATCACAAGCCAAAACATGTGTTTGCAAGACTGAGGATGTACCTTCATAATAAAAATAAAACAAGAAGTATCAAAGTGAAATGTCAGATATCAACTGTCAAACTTAGTACTTAAGGAAATCAGATATTTCATACTTAATAACCTACAGCCACACAGTACACTGCTGTCAAAAGATGATAACAGACTGGCACACTCAACCCCCATAAACTCTCACCAACCAGCCACGTGTCGTAGTGGCGCCAGTCAGGCAGAGGAAGGTAGAACTAAATCGTGAGCATAGCAGCCGTCAATTTAGCCCTATGGCTTACTAATGTTCTAATTGTGCCGGTCAATCCAGGAGGATTATTTTGTTGAAATTTATATTATTCTTTGGTATTTTAAATACATTCATTTTAAAAATAAAATAAAAATCTAAAAGACAAACAAAAATGTATTAATAAAAATAAAAGAATTTGTTCTGTAAAATTAGGATTCAGTCAAAAGGCTGCACTTGAGGACCTTAGAAGGCCTCATGTGGCCTTAAGGCTGCAGGTTCCCCACCCCTGAGCCAGACCCTACCTCATCGTCTTCAGCTGCCCGTTTGCCTGTGGCAGCCTCAGCTTCCTCATCTTCATCTCCATCCTCTTCCTCTCCTGGAGAAAATCAAGGACCAGATAAACACCCCACTGCCCTCCTACTGTGGCTCCTTGGGGAATCTCCCAGTTACAGATATGTCAGAGTGGAATGTCCCTGGACTTGCCTCTGCTGCCCCACAAACTGCACAGGTCAGGTACCCCCACCCACCCATGTACTCGTCACAGTGTCGGGGACCAAGCGGTGGCGTGGGCAGAGGCCAGCCCAGTGGATCAGAAGTCAGTGGCTTTCAAAGCTGCAAAGGGCCCCGTCCAGGGGGAGAGTACGTGGGTGGAGTGTGAGTGGGTGTGTGGCACAGCTGCATGTCACTAGCCCAAAACAAGGAAGGCCCTGACTCCACAGGTGCAAGGCCACTGTCCCCAGGTACCATGGTCCCTCCCCTGGGAACCCCTAATCCCTTCCCCTCCTGCCGGACAAGGCTACTCACCATCACCTTCTTCCTCTTCCTCCTCTTCCTCCCCACCTTCTTCCTCTTCTTCATCTACCTCATTGTCAGCCTCCTGCTCCCCATTTTCCTCGTTCTCCTCGACAGAACACACACCCGGCAGTTAACCAGCTGGCCCAGGGCTGGAGGACACAGCTGCAGTCCTGACCCCTCACCCCTGCCTCCAGAGGCTGCCTGATGCTTCCAGAGCACCTAAGCGACCCCTTCCAACCAAGGTCCAGTGGCAACCCCGACACCGGAACTGCCCAGGGCCTTGGCCTCCTTTCCCACCCTGGGCTAAACCCAAAATCAGTCCAGGAAAAACTTCTTGGGACGGGAGCTGCCAGGGCTCGCGAGCAAGGTGGCCACTCACAGCGTTCCCATTAGCAGGGGCGTCTCGTCCATTCTCTGCCTCCTCCACAACTTCCTTCTTCTCCTTTAAGTCCTTCAAAAGGGAAGACGGAACCAGTAAGTCTCCTGAGCAGCCCAGGGCAGGCAAAGGGGCTGAGAACTAGAGATGCGGGGCTGATGTGCGCGTCCGAAGCTACGAGTCACGTGTTACCGTGGCTGGAGCAGTGGAGGGAGGGCTGCAGAGATACCGGAGTCTGTGGTCAGAGTCCCTGAGATTTCCCGACCCTCAAACACAGACTAGAACGGGCCCACATGGGGCTCCCGCTAAGCCCTCGTCCTTCTTAGGAAAGGAACCGTGCGGCACCACAGCCCCGAACCCGTCAGGCCGGGCGAACGAGCCGCGGAACACTCCCACCCGCCGTCACCGACTGTGTCCGCCCCCACAAACCCTTCTTGGAAGGCAGCAGGTAAGCTCCATAAATACGGCAATGGAGGGAGGGGCCTGGCAAGGCGGGAGAACTCTTATGGGTGGACTAGCCTGGGACGGGAATGGGAGGCCACCTTGCCAGCCAGAGTCCTTTCCGGCCTGGCTCTAAGTCCAGGCCCTGGCAAGCGCAGGTCTCCGAAGAAACCCAAACCGCGCCGATCCCTCGTATCCTGCTGTCCCGGGAGGACGCACACCGTTGCCTGGAAATGGGTGCAGCCTCAGGCGACGTGCCCTAGGCCCAGGGCCTGCCGCTGCCTGGACCGACTGACTGCCCCCTGACCTCTTGCTGTCCACACAGCAGCTCAGTGGCCCTCAGACTTCACCTCGGGGTGGACCCCAAAGGCAGGGCAGCTCCGAGTACCCCAAAGCCCCGTAACTTTTTCCACCTGGAGAGCCCGAGTCGTCTGCCAACACAAACTGGAGTCCAGTGGCCCAGGTTCAGGGAGCCCCTCGGCCAGTGCCCAGTGAGTGGCCCCGGGCCACCGCTGTGTTCCTTCCAGCCATTCGGACTCCCAGGCCCGGGGCTGCCCACTGCCACAGCCTGGCAGCCACCGCCCCAGGAAGTGGGTGGGGACGGGGAGGCCACAACAGGCAAGCCCACAGCCACCACCTGGCGGGCTTTGTGTGCGGGCCTCTGCATGCACCGCACACAAGGAGCACGTGGCCCGGGGCCACTAAAGGCATCTCTAGGCCTGGGAAGCTGGGGCCGTGGGCAGTGTTGGCCTTGCTGTCAAGTCTGACTCGGTATTCCCTGGTCTTTGGTTCCCAGTGCCGATGAATGGGTACGGGTAGCAAGTCAATGACGGGTCAGTCACATACGCACACAAGCGACTCACACAAGCAGCGTTATTGCAGGATAGAAGGAAGCTTTACAAAGCAAAAGCACATCCTGGGGAGGAACGGGTCTGCTCCGTGCTTGGAGGAGATCCTGAACATAATGAAATTTCTCCGTTTTATGTCGGTTCCCCAATTTTACGCTAAGCTGGGGGTGGAATATTCAGGATTTTTCTGAGAAAGGGTGGAGAGTTCTCAGAATTGGTACCTTCGCACTTTTTGTGCCTGTATGGCTGGCTCCGGAACCGTCATGGTGCCAGAGGGTATGAACAGACAGTAGGGGCGCGAGCTCTCTGCCGGCTCAGTACCTACCAGAACCACATTTCCAAGGACTCTGACAAGCCGGCCGCACCAAAAAGAAAAAAAAGGGAAAAAGCAAACACAGCCGCTCCACACCTGTTTCTGTTATCAGCTGACAGCCCCTAACTATTTGTTCTTTCTTTTTACCCCCTAATAAAAACGCCAAACCCCTAACCCAGGGCCAGCACTTCTTTCCTTCTCACGTGTCGCACTTCTTTCCTTCTCACGTGTCGCACCCTTCCTCCTTTGGGAAGTAAACTTTCTTTCTATAAAACTATTCTAATCTTTAAAGTAAAATAAACCTTTTACTTAAAACTGTCCCAATCTTTATGTTGAGAAATCTTTCTCCACCTGCGTACAAATTCACAGCCTAACATTTTGGCGGCCTGAACAGGGACTTCATTTTTCTGCCTCTGGTACATGGAAGTTAAGTCACTTCTCTGCCCCCATACGAGGAGCTCACTGTTCTGCTTCTGTCTTGAGGCTGCTCCCTCCCCTACTCCACAGTTCCCAGCGTTCCCTTCTCGGTGCTCTCATTTGGAATTTGGTGAGTCCATCGGTCTCTGGAAGTGGTCGTATGCTTGAGGTTGGAAGTGGTAGCTTCTGTCTAGGTTTGATCTAAAAGGGAGACCCAATGCTGGTTCTACCACTTGGGGGGGTGCCATGGAGGTACCAACCACGCTTTCCCCAGTGGGGGGTGCTTTGGAGGGCCTTATGCCTCCTGACCACCCTCATTGGTCTTCACCCAGACCCAGGGATGCCTGGCTATGGGGAAGAACTCCGGGTCTTGGTCAGAACTCAGGGACGCCTGTTTTCTGGCCAGATCTCTAGGTTTCAGTCTGACTCAGAGTCAGGGACGCCTGATGTCTAAGCAGAGCTCCAAAGGTCGTGTGTGTCAGGGATACCCCCTCAGACCTTTTTTTCTATGGACATATGACCATCTCTAAAAAGTCCTTTTCTTTTATTTTGGGCAACGTTCAGCTCCATCCAAAGACTCCACACTGAGGTGTAAATCAAATGACCAAGAGATCTGGCCCCCAAATGAATTTCTTAATTATAGTGCTATTCTGCCACTCAAACTTCTATTGGCGCTGGCTTGGCAAGGGCTCTGAAATCCTCTACTTTCAGGCTTTCTTTGAACTTGCTAAACTTTCTGATCTTCATTCTGCCTGACACATGTTCCTTCTTACTCCTGCATCTTTCCCACTGTCTTCACCTTCCAGATGATGTTTCCCTTTGAGCTCTCCCTCCTTCTTCTTCATCTCCACCACTCTCGCCTGGCCACACTCACTCTGGCCGTTGTTCCAAACTCCCTCCCCACCTGTACACCAGCTCCCTCTCCGGTAGGCTGACTGGTCACAGAGCATTGTAAATTACTCAGAGCCAAGATAAAAGTCCAGCCCTTTATCTGTCATGACTGTCTGAGGCCACTCGCTCTTTACTAATTTAGACCTTCACACCAGAGAGGGACAATCCTAGCAATACACTTCATCTCCCAGTCAGCCCCTGAGATTCAGGGAAAATGCCAAAAACTTGAAAAGTGACCTCATATTTCCCAAGCGGAACTTTTAAACCTGGTCTGTAAGGTCTTTGATAACAGAGATGAGAAGAGGAGGAAAAGAGAAAGCGGGACCAGCAGCGGGCCCCGAGAGCAGAAAGAAGTTTTCCAAATGGTGGCTACTACTATAGCAAGAGCTGTTCAGAGACAGAGTGACCCTGGAGGCTCAGGCAAGAAGACACCAGGACCATGCCCTTCTCTGGGAACTAAGCCCTGCTTTTGCTGCAACCAGCTAGGTCACTGGAGTAAGACATGCCACAGGAGGCCTCTGCCAGGACCGTGCCCCTCTCTGCAAATGGGAGGGACACTAGAAGAAGGAGTGCTCTCTCCTTAAAACAGGGGACCGCACTCACCTTCCAGAACTGGTGGGTCCCCCTGAGCCGACATCGTCCACACCCATGTGTCTTCTGGGATTGCTTCAGTCTAACAGATAGACCCCGGTTTCACAACCAACTTCACAACATCGAGATGGCCGAGCCTTGGGTAACACTCTCTCTGTCGCAGGTAAGCACACTGATTTTAACAGACACTGGAGCCACTTACTGCACTCTTTCTGCATTTTTGGGACCTCTATTTCCCTCCCCTACCTCCATCGTCAGAATGGAAGGTAAAATATAAACCTGTGTGTACTCTACAGCCCCTCAGCTCACGGGGAGATCAAGTCTTTGCTCATTCCTTCTTAATGCTTCCCAATTACCCCTCTACTAAAAGAAGATCTTTTGGTTAAGATAAACATCTAACTCCTTTAGCACCTCGGGCCTCCTTTCTCGTGGAAAAAGAATTAACTGAGACTTTACGTATGACCTTCTTTTTTCCTTTATCTAGGCCTAATGTCCTAACTCTATGCTTTCAAAATATAAATTTAGGGAAAAAGTGAAAGCAGGACAGAGGATCACTAGTAAAATAGGAGGGGGAGATATAGAAAGGCAATGCATGTAGAAATATACTTTTGGTAAGAAAGGTTAAACAAAACAGAAAGCTTAAGCCAGGCGCAGTGGCTCACACCTGTAATCCTAGCACTCTGGGAGGCCAAGGAGGGTGGATCGTTTGAGCTTAGGAATTCGAGAGCAACCTGAGCAAGAGCAAGACCCCGTCTCTACTAAAAAATAGAAAGAAATTACTTGGACAGCTAAAAATACATAGAAAAAATTAGCTGGGCATGGTGGCGCATGCCTGTAGTCCCAGCTACTCGAGAGGCTGAGGCAGTAGGATCGCTTGAGCCCAGGAGTCTGAGGTTGCTGTGAGCTAGGCTGACGCCATGGCACTCTAGCCCAGGCAACAGAGTGAGACACTGTCTCAAAAAAAAAAACCAGAAAGCTTAAGTGTGTTGTGGGTCATCCATGCAAAGCAAGATAAGGTTCATAGACGAAAATATGTAAAGAAATTTTTTACATGACCGAGTGACTATAATTAAAAGGGAAATTTCTGGTTAAAACAACAAAGGTTTCTGTTCTCAGTTACGGGGTTTGTACAAAAGGAGATTAAAAATAGACAATTTATCAGCCACCTTAGACAAATTATTAAAAAGACTAAAATATCAATGACATGACAAAAGTCTCCAAGTTCCTTAGCTTAAATGGTTAACAATGCTTATATTTGCTATGACTCTGGAAACTAAACCCAAGAATATAGTAGCTCAATGCCTATAAATAAGTTAATTTTTTAGCCTCACCTTTGATATTTTGGCTTTTACTCTTACATTGCCTCAAAAGTTTTAAAGAGTTGATGGTCCTTGCTTTATTCTAAACTATTGGTTCTTGTCCTAGGAATTTGTCATTTGGGATCCTAATTTTGATTCAAGCACCTGTGGCTTTAATAATATCCCGTGGTATACAAGCCTTCTAAAGGATCTTCTCCATTGCCTTTTTATCCCAAAATTAATCTCAATTGGCTTTTCTGTGCATTTCCAAAAGAGAAAAATGAACTGTTCTGTTTGTAGATAAATGAGAGACTGAGTTCCTCTGCTCCGGAGAGAAAGAGCATTCTACTTCTCCCAGCTAAAAGCCATCCATGGGTGACCCAGGCGGGCGCCAGGGGGGGAGACATTGAGTGGGAGTTGCCTGGGGCAAATCTTAGTGGCACGAGTGACCCTATAATAGGAAACCCCCCCTCCAACAAAATTAAAAGAAGGCTCGTCCAGGAAACGCATATAAGAGCTGAATACTCAGTGTTTTGAGCCCTCTTAGAAGTAACAGACCCCCAAAAAGAGAAACTGAGACATGTAAGGGGGTGAAAATGACTCAGTGGTGAAACACTGTTGAGTCCCACCTACAATCGGCATACTCTGATCCACTACACTAAACCCTAGACTACAGTTTGGCTGCTTCTTTTAAAGAAAACTGGAAAAAAAATCCTTCAAAAATGATGAAAGACAAGGAGAATGACCCCTTTGACATCTCAGTTGGTTTATGGTGCCTCTATTTATAAGTATTTGTATAAATGGAAAGGTTCAAAGACATGCCATGCTTTCCATCACTCCAGCTGATTATGTCCAATCCTTTGCACAAGTTTTAACTAAAAGACAAATTACATCAAAAAGTTCAGAGCTCAAATTGTCAATCTGCCACTATAGGGTTAAAATGAAGAGTTTGTTAAGGTCTCTATTTTCTCTTCTGCCTGCTTAAAACTGCAGTTGCTAAGTTACTAGTGCTGAGATAAAGTTCACTAATTCAAGGTTACTTGGAGCAGCCAGTTCCAACAACAATATAAACATTTTAAAAATTCATTTAAAACTAAAGAAAAAGATTCAGTTTGTTTCCTTATTGACTTGTATTCCAGCTTGTCTATACTAGCTCTTATGATCATTTGGGAAGCTGAGTCTCTATCAAAGAGAAAACTTTTTTTTTGCCTCTTAAAATCTTTTGATTATCAATTTACCTAGATAAATGACTATAATTTTATAGTAACCTGTGATCCTGTTTTGTGACAAATGTTTTATGCTAAATTATTTGATATGGTCAAAAAAATTCTCATACAGTTGCTAAGAGTTATTTGTTCTCCTATTCAAAGTACTAGTTTTTCTTATTCACGTTCCAATACATTATACTCTTCATTCATGACCCTGGACATACCCTTGCTAATTCAAGTACCCTTTTCGTGCTTTGTTTTCCAGAGTCCTGACAGGTATTGAGTAAATAACAAATTGACCTGCTATCTCCAAGATCTAAAACTACTAAATCCCACCTAGCTCAAACTGGTTATTCATTGCCAAAGCCCTGCTACTAAAAAATCCTCCTTCTAAGCCCAAGGACTATCTCAAAAGAGATGGGCATGTGAGATTGTAAGGGTCGATTTCCAGAGATGGAAATTAGTTCACACTCTACATCTCCCCTAGGGCACCTTTGTTCCTTAGCCCCTCTAAACTTATGTATGGGCATTCTGTTCTCCTGTCCCCTTTCACCTCAGTTCCCCCCACCCCCACTTGACATCTACCTGCCAGCAGTAAAACTCACTATAACCATCTTGAACCTCAACCTCTTAATTTTTAGGAACTGTAACATTTACAGCCCGGAGACTAGATTTTACTTAACAATCTCTCAGTACAAACTAGGTCCATTCCACCCTTCATAGAGAGGTCCTTTTAAATAATTCTCATTACTCCCACTACAGCTGAGCTTCTGGGGATCCTATCCTGGATTCATCTCTCCCAACTCAAACCTACAGATCCTCCAGAAAAACCTGCTTCCACACACTGCGAACCCTCTGAAAATCCACCAACCTAACACCTGCCAGCCCATCACAGATACCAGGCTCAGATTCACTCAACAAAAGCCTCAAAACCATGAGCTTTAATAATATGCTGTGGTATGAGTGGCTTCTTATCCCCCTTTTCTTCCTATTTATACTTCTGTTGTCGCTCTATGAATGTCGCCACATCCCAGCTTACATAGCAGGCCCCATCTGTCCTTTGCCCATGCTGGGAACCCTAATAATCAGATCTGTAAATTCATCTCCCCAGTGTGGCCTTGGTTTTTTTAGTTAACAGCTTTCTTGGGGTCCCTAATAGCTCTGCTTTTGATACTCATTTTAGGACCCTGCATTCTATCTGATAACATTCATACAAAATCAAATTCAAACCCTAACTGTTTCTCTCCAGTGAAACCCCCATTCTGTCTCTAATCTCACTTTTAAGACCATACATTTTCAACCCCTCCCCCTTCAGGACCCTCAAATGGACTCTCAATAGGGACATCTCTACCTCCCTAAGCCAGTAAGAAAAAGTTACAGGAGATGAAACATCTGTCCAAGTTTCCCAGTTTTTGAGTTCATTAATAAAGAATTTTAATTTTAACCAAAAAGAGTGGGGAGATGAAAGGATGGCCTCGTTAATAAACTACCTAACAAAGAAAGACAAACTATCAAACAAAAAAGTAAAAGGAGTAAACTCACAACACATAATCATCCCTTTGAAGAGAAAGATCACAACACAACTGCCCCTTTGTTTGATCAAGCACCTATGGCTTAAATTGTTTTTGAGAGTTTTTCCTACATTCTTGAAGAGCCCTAACAGACAGTAAGGATGCAGCTTTCTGCCTCAGTTCCTGCCAGAAATACATTTCCAAGGACTCTGACAAGCTGGCCTCGCCAAAAAGAAAAAAAGGGAAAAAGCAAACACTGCTGCTTCAAACCTGCTTTTGTTATCAGCTGACAGCCATAACTATTTTTTCTTTCTCTTTACCCCCAAATAGAAACACTAAATTTCTTATTCCAGGGCCGACACTTCTTTCTCGTGTGTCAAGCCCTTCCCATCTTTGGGAAATAAAATAAACTTTCTTTCTTTAAAACTATCTAATCTTTAAGGTAAAATAAATTTTTACTTAAAACTATCCTAATCTTTGTGTTCAGAAATCTTTCTCCACCCGTGTACGAATTCACACCGTAACAAGTGGGTTGCCTGGGGGCACTGCGCTGAGGGAGGGCTCCCCAGGGAGGGAGCAACAGCGGCCTCAGGGCAGCCCCGCTGCAGTGCGGTCCCCGAGGGGGCGGGCAGCGTCGAGCCTCACCTCGGTGGTGATCTCGGGGCTGGTGTCCACGGCTGCGTCTGACATGGTGGGGCACGCCGGTGATGCAGGGGACAGAAAAGCAAGCGCGGGTTCGGGGACTCTGGCGATAAAGCTGCCGGAGTCTGCGGGGCGGCAGAGGCGGGCGGGGAGGTAGCTGTGGCGAGCAGGAAGCCGGACCCCGGACAATGCAAAGATGGCTTTTCACAGCAGCCAAAACCTGCCCTATAGATTAGTGGGCGGTGCTCGGCCTCCATTGCCCGAACGCTATTGGGTGAGCGCAGGGAGCGGGCGCTCGCTCATTGGCTTGATTCCGAACAAAGGACAAGCGTGCTTAAAGCCGCAGAGCCTCTGCGTGTCCCTCGCGGCGCAGTCGCCGCCCACACTGCCATTCAAGGCCTGAGGTTGCGGAGTCTCAACCGCGCAGCGCCAAGGACGCGGGGGAGGAGAGCGCGGGCGCGCTAGGGAGCTCTTTTGCCGGGTCTGCTGACGCAGAAAGCCAAAGCGCTGCAAAGCTGCCCGCCCAGCGCCCCCTTCCTCCTCCTCCCTGCGGCTGCTCGGAAGGAGGGGGAGGGAAGAGGAGCCGGCGAGCGCGCACGACGGCTGCCAGCGAGGGGGAGGAGGACGCGGGGTGCTGGGCCGCGCTCGCCCCGGGCGGTGCCCAGTGCAGTGCCCCCGGAGGTGCCCGCCCCCAGCGCCTGGGCACCTCCGACCAAGAATTGTGTCAGTGCTAGTGGACTGTATCCCATGACGAGCGACGAGGTCACGAAGCCAAGACCCGCGCACCTGGGCCGCCCTGTCCCTCTCCCACGGCCCACCCTACTCCCCGGCGCCCCGAGTCCGGAGACAAATGACCCCATCGCCCATCACCAGTTCCAGCGCCCGCTAGCTGGGCCATTCGATGAGTGGGCACTGTGCCAAGCACACACACTTGGGGATTCCTGCATCCAAGGGACTTGATGCTGGTTAAGGGCTCCTGCCCTCTAGCAGAATAGCCTGCGGGTCCCGCCCTGCTGAGCTGGCTGGCTCTCAACCGCTTTTGCAACTCCACAGCTATGGTCAGCTTTTGCACCGAGCAGTCACTGCTATGGAAGGTCAGGGCACCTTCCTTCCATGGTCCCACAGAGCCCTCCAGTCTACCCCTCTCCCACCCCACTTCTGGGCTGAGATGGACACCTGAACATTGCGGAGTTATTGGCCTACTTCTTTTGTTATTTCTGAATGGACAATTGTTCCTGTCCCCTGTCACTTGCACTCATTGGTGCATCTTATACCCTTTGCTGCTACACAGCATGGGGTTTGAATGAGTTTGCCCTTCAAACCCCCCCAAGACAGGCTGGTATGCCATATGGGAGCCCACATTTCCTGACCCAGGTGTGTTCACAGCCCAAGCTGCACTGGACCTAGTTTCCAACTGCTCTCAGCCAGGGACTTCACATGGTCTCCAGGAAAGTTTTATTGGTAGGTAATTTTCCTAGGAACACCTCTGGTTGCCCACACACTCCAGTTGGCCCACAGGCCTCTCCCTGCCCATCCAAGTCACACATTTATTTCATCTGCCTGGCCAGTAGGCTCTTAAGTTTGCAACCTAAGCCTGCTCCTAAGCCACTTCCAGCATGTTCCTCATTGGTTATCTCACTCTTCTGCTTGATTCCCAAAACACCAGACAAAATATGTGCACACTGCTTTAAGCTGCCTGGGTTCAAATCCCAGCCCTGCCAAGCGCTAGCCGTGTGAATTGGGTGAGTGACTCCCCCAGCCCTAAAATATGGAGAAGATAATAACAGTACCTACCTAGCAGGGTTATTGTGAGAACTGAATGACTTAATATCAGAAAGTGCTTAAAATAGTGTCTGGCACATACAGGAAAACCACTAAGTCTTCTCAGCACCCCATTTTGGGGTCTGTACCTACATAGGTGGGTTTTACCGTGTTTGGAGGACTCTGGACAAAGGAACACTGTCTTCAGCAAACTACCCGTGTTCAGTGGGAAATGAGGGCACTGGCCTCGCCGAGCTTCTGGAAGCCTAGGTGCCCGACATGCTTGGCAGCCCCGCTGGCCTCAAAGGAATGGCAGACCCTGGTTGGCAGGCGGAGTGGAGCACGTCTCAAAAACTCCCGCCTTCCTGCCCTTCAGAAACCCAGGAGTTTCAGGCTGCGGTTTCCTTGCCCAGGCGTCAGGGCCTGGGGAGCTGCCAGGGGCCTTTCAACCCTCCCGCCTGCTGAGCCCGGCAGGGATTGTGCAAGAGCCCCCGCGCCTGCTCCCTCCGCCAGCACGCCCGGGCCTGCCCGTCCTCCCGGGGAGCTGTGCCAGAGGACCAGGCTCCTGGGACCCACACAAGTCTGGCCACCCTGAGAGGCCCCTACCTGGCAGGGAGAGGGTGGGGAATGTCTCTTGATGTCCCAGGCATGTCCCCAAGGCCTGTGGAGCCTGCGTGTGAGCTGACGTAAGGAATCGGGAGAGGTGAGTGTGCAGTGTACACGGACAGATGCCACCACCCCCTGGCCAGGGGGGCCACCATGCCGGTTTTTGACTCCCTGTGCACAGCCCCCTTTGGTGTCTCCAGAAATCCTATGCCAGCCTCTGCCATTTGCTGGCCCTCGTCCCCCCATCCGTCCACGTGTGTGCACCTATTTGCACAGCCCGAGTTCCGTGGGTGTTTTGCTTCAGCTCGGCTTACAGTCTGTGGGTGGGTAGGCTCAGCCTCGCGCCGTGGCAGGGGAGGGGGCTGCTCGGGGGAGCACGTGAGCCCGCACACCTGGGGCCCCTGCCTGTGGGTGCCTGCGAGAACGTTGCACCTGAGGGAAGGCAGGACACCGCT